CATTTTAAATATATATATAAAAGATACATACTTTGTCTATAAAAGGATGCAATAGGATAGTAATCATCTAAAGAATTCTTAGGACAAGCAAGCAGAGATGATTAATTTTAATAGCAACTCTACCAAAAAAGTCTGAAATGCTTATAAAAATAATCCAAAATATTAAGATAGCTAAGCTGTGGTAACTTTTGTTAACCTGCTTGCTTTATATAACAAAGCGATTTATGCTGAAAAACAACTGAAGTCTCCTTCCCCTGTTCTCTTTTTGTATCATAATGGTACCATTCAATTATGCAGCATGTAATGTTAAAATCTTTATATGCAATTTAGCTATTGTCTGCAGTCCTCTGGCTTGAATAAACTGCCTAGTAAATTAATGACACTTCTTAAATGCTATAAAAAGCCTGCAGACATTTTCCCAGTAATTTGTATAAATCATCCATCAATGAAAATAGGTCTTTCATTTAATTCTCAAAGATTGTAATGTCCTACACTGCAATTTTGAGTGGCTTTAATCATTGTAAATCTATTTATGAGACCATTTTGATAGTCTCTCCACCCACAATTGTTAGAGGAAAAGATGTATTTCTATATGTTAGCACACAAAAATATAGATACTTCCTGGCATTTTAAAGGCTTCTTTATGCAAAAGGCCTAAAGGCGCCCTTTCTAGAAACAAGGAATAGTCTAACAAAGACCAAAATAATTGCTTACAATTTAAAATTTTACAGTGTGTAAGTTTTTGCATTCTCTCTATCCACCGCTCAGAAAAATTCAGGTAAACATTTCCCTATTCCATACTGTCCCAGTTTCCTGCATGTAGCTCTCTTTCATCTTTCTTAAGCTCATTAGAAGACTGTCTTCAAGATGTTTTTCTTTTGCACAGCTAGAAATACGAGGAAAAATCAAGGTAATTTCTGCAAAATAACAACTGCCTGAATCAAATGCGTGTTATAGCACCCGAATAAAACCAGAATGGTAGGGTAAATGAAAGCACACATTCCTTGTTCCAGAACATCAGGCAAAAGAGGATGTAAACGGGAAGATGACATCTGGGCATTTTTACAACTTCCTTATTTTTAAGCCATGTTCTGGAAGTTGTGGTAAAGCCACCATTCCTTCTTTCAGCTTAAGAGCTGTTCAAAACAACACTTTTGAAAAGGGGGTAGCAACTGCAAACCATACACTACTGATGAGGATGAGATAGCCACAAAGTGGATTGTACTACAATGGCAATGGATTTACTAAATTCCCTGCAAGGACTAAAGTCACACCAAAGCTCTTTAAAGGAGCTGAAAGACAGGTTTGCAAAAAAGCCCTAGTATAACTTACAATCATTTGACAGTGCTTTGTATTAGTTAGCTGATACCTCTAGGCCCCAGGTTTGGAGCTGCGGTGATTTGGGGAAAACACTGATCCAACTTAATTTCATAGTGTAAAATTGTCATTATGAAAATTGATGTCTCATGAACCTCTGTGCTAATCTGCATTCATCTTGCTGACATGGGCTCAGCATAGTCCCCATTAACTCAGACAGAGCAGCTAAAGGCAAGTTCCATCACCTAATCAACATGCATTACCTTGGGGAGGTTGCCTTAGCTGGCAACTTAGCTGGTATTTCCTTCCTTGCTTGCAAAGAGGAGATAATAGTATGAGAGTATGAAAACTATTAGCAGTAAAACAAAAAGAGGGCAAGGACACGAGTGTGTTAAGACAGGACAAGCAGTGGGAATGGAGTTGTTGATTTAATTCGTAAGGCCTCTGAGGTACAAACTGTGCCCCAGGTTCTGTCTTGTTGCAGTAACTTGGTACAACACAGCATCCATGCTATATGGATAGTCAGGCCCTAACTGCTGTGGTTCAGAGCCCACCTGGTCTGCTGGCATCAGTTTAAGCAGAAAGCAGCACCTTCCTCTCCCCCATGTTAAGCTCCTTCCTGGGCCTAATATTCCGTTTTGAAATCCAGGGTACTCAGGAGTGCATTTAGGAACAGGAGCTGGCCTCTATCTCACGGCTGTCATGAGAAAACATGTTGAAGCTTCTGTGGTTGCTATGGAAGAAGGGATGGCAAATACCGGGAGCAAGAGTGACTAAGCGTAGAAACTGTCTTTCTGCACAGCTAAACTACAAAGGATTTTCAAAAAAGGGCAAAAATACAGGTCGTCTGTACACTGCATTTTGAGACAAATCATTTTCATTTGTTTGCAAATAGTCAGTAAGCACTACTGGTCTCACAGGTTAACCAAAATGTCCCTTCACCTCTTCCGGTGTCTCTAAAGACCTTGCAGTGCACATGATCCCTGTTCCTAATGCTGTGCTTGTTCTCTGCTCCACCATGAGCAGAACTTACATAATTAGGCACAGAGAACAGCTTCTAACTAGGGGCCTATGTTTACACTGTCTTTACACTAATGCACATTATACTATGATGGAATCATATATGACAGTTAACACACTGTACCTGGCAGGATGCAAGTTAAATGAGCTAACTGCTTGTATACTTATTTTCAAAGGAAACAGAAGACAGTACATGGGTAAAGTTCACACATACCCATTATCTGTCATATCCAGGTCAAAGAGAAGCCTTAAAAATCCCTGAATTTCCACAATTAAAAAGCTCAAAAGAAGAAAAGTGAAGGGAAAGGCAATTCTCGTCCTGCTAAAGGGCAGCAGTGAGGAGTCTGGAGTGAGCAACACACTACTGGTGTTGAAGAGACACACACAGGAGAGAAGATGGAAAACAAGAACTGAGAGAAAAGATGAGGATGAAGAAGACGAAAAAATTTAAGAAATCCAGAAATTGAGCTGAGCAGATGTAAGGCAGGTGGAAACTTCCCTTTTGCAAAAGAACTGGCACTGAATTTCCCATTATGTCTCCGAAGAAATGAAAAGTAACTCCTAAACTGGTATCTATGCTGGCATTTTAGACAGACTGTATCAAACAAATTTTTATGAGAATTATAGAAAACTGACACTGAACAATAAATTCTCATTGGAAATTTAACTTTCAAAGCTAATTTTGTTAAAGGTCATGGCAACATGGAAAGTAATGTTTTTCAGAAATACTTTCAAAAGCAATTTTCATGGTGTCAGAGGGGTGACAATATTTTGAAAATATAAATTTAAATTTTGATGTTTATCTTTCATTCACTGCACTGACAAGCAGATTACATTACGTAATATGGAAGATGCTTGAGCTATTTTAGAATAGTCTGATCTCATCTGCACAGATATAAATCTGGCTAACTACTGAAAAGATAAAAATGAGATAAGCATGTATGCTAGTAAGAGCATCCATTTCTGTATGTGCTTGGGTGTAATATACACTATGCCCTCCTTTTTCCTCAAAAATTTTATTTATTTATATTACTAGCATGCACTGTGAACAGTAGTCTCTTGTTTTGTGTCTTCAAACACATCTACATAGGTATTAGAAAATCTCTCCATCAGCTCTGGAGAAAAGGAAGATTCATCACCAGCCAGACATGCAAAACATGGTTTAGAGAGCTGTGAGAGTGCCTGTGCCTGGATTTCATCTTATTTCTGTGAATTTGTCAGCAGCAGAATCTCTTAACTCAAGCAAGTAATTTTCACACATCTAGAATTGGCCGTTATGTTTGTGTGTGCTTATCTGGACACTAAAGAAATATTTGTTTTCTGGAATAAACATTCACGAAGCATCTAGATTAGAAAGTACAAATATACTGGCTAACTTGAATTAAAGGCAGTCAGTCCTCCCAAATTAAACACTCAAGTGAAGATATTTCCAAATACAGCAATGAACTATAAATGCAAACCACACAAAGAGGATAGTCTCATGTTTAAAACATAGGAGTGAGAGCTATTAGATCTTGGTTTCCATTCCTAGTTCTGATGCTTGTCTTTTCCTCTTGATCTTGAGTAAATTATTTATTGACAAGACTTAAATTTCCCCAGATTCAAAAAGAGGCAATTAGACTCCCTAGCTCAAAAAAGCAGCGTTGTAATAATTAATTCATTATTCTTTGAAAGGCACTCTAGAATTATTAGAAACTGACGTAGAAATGCACATTATCAGTGCTATATTACAGTACACCTGCAATTCCCAAAATAGCTCTGCATATATCTTGTACAGATTTATAGTATTCTAAATTAAAGTCAATGATACCTTGAGTCTCAGGCCAGTATCTTTTCATGTAGGTGCATTGTGAAGAAAAGCATCCAATCTTGAAAATACTACGATTCCTCTTTGCACGAGTCTACCCTCATCATTTCTTTCAGTACTATATTATACACACATTAACTATAACGACAACAAGCATGTGGAAAAAAGATCGCTCAACTAAGTTCAAGTGCTGAATAACAAAAAGCCACTGTAAATTCTGCAAATAGAATCAATGGGCTAGCCCAAGTCCCACTATAAACAGAGACATGACCAACATCATATGCCTCATTAGAAAAGCAGTAAAGAAAATTTTAAAAACTGTCTTTTTCAAAGTACAGCATGTTTTGGATTCAGTGGTTAGAAAAATCACCTTTTCAAAATTAATCTGTTTGCTTAAGACTGAGATAGATCTTACAGGTGTCTCTGACAGTCATGATCATTTTTATCCACTTGCTCATGTAATGGCAAACATAACTGTATCTGAGAATTGGACAACTGTGCTGTAAGTACAGATTGGTCAGCTGTCTCTTGAAATACCTAGTCAGATATTTACTAAACAGTGCTGCACATCTTATCACTTGCATGTTTTCAAGATAGCTGTTTCAACAAATTAGGGGTACAATTCCAGATTCCTGTCTCAAACTAACTTGCACTTGAATAGGAGTGAAAAGTGATGATAGGTATCTTGGTACATAAGCATATTGCCTAATGACAGGATGATTTAAAATGGAACCTGTGGGAACACTGGTTTTGAGGGAAACTGTTCCTGCAGACAACTTATTAAATAACTTCTAAAGATATATATTCTATGGCACATCAAAGTGATACAATTAAGAGCCTGTAAAAGCCACACTACCTGTTGGTCATCTGGAGTCCATATACCACAGGTGATCTGACTCTCCAGGTTTATTTCTGAAGACCAGTGTCTTTGCCCACTGACTGATCCGACCAGCACGAATCCATCTCTATAGGAGATAAGTGCTTGAGTCCCATCATGGCTCCACGTAAAGTCACTCACCTTAAAATTTTAATGATAAGAAAATAGACATAATGGCTACATAGTAGTTTTGTACAGAAACAGAAATATCTACTGGCAGTTTTCTTAATCTATAGTATAATCATAGGGCTTTATTCTTTTAAAAAATCCAAAAGCCAACACAATATCAATGCAAGACATGATAACATTTTTTAAAAAATATTTTTACACAAATAGATGGGAGTTAAAAATAGATTTAGAAATTTAAAATCTTCATTGTACCATCACATACTGAAAAATAACATGCTTCCATAAAACTAGTGATTGCAATGCTCAATAGATATATTATTTTTAAAAAATGTATATTTTTGCAAAAACAATGGGTAATTCAGTCTCACTTTATACTAAAAAGGAAGGCAAACAGGACTTCAATATCACTAAAGTTTTCTTGCTCACTGCAGAACTTACAATGTTCTATTTTTCTAAGTCTGAAATGTCAAATTCTGAAAGACAAAAACAGTTGGATAAAATAACCAACCTTGTAAACGTGTTTGTGACACTTCTTGCCTACTCCTTTCAATAAAGAAATGTTTCGTTTTCTTTCACGCTTTCCTAAATGTATACAGTGCTATTCACATTCCTTTTCATTTATGTGTCTCAGGACTTGACCATTGGTGACTGAGAGAAAATATTCGTACCAACCTGTGCCCCACGATCATTCACAAGCTCCACAGACCATCTGCCTTCATATTGTATCCAAACAAATATTCCTCCGTCTGCATCACAGGTTGCTAGTTTCTGAAATGGTTCATTCCATCTCACCAGCACAACCTAAAAAGATTTCAAACAGAAACAGCATTATCAAAACTGTGTATATTATATTTTTACAAGAATCAGTTAAATACTACTTGTTTTGCAATATTATCACATTTAAATTCTAAACAAGACCTTCAAAACAGTGATTTTCAGCACAAACATCAGGGCACTCTCAAGAAACACCTGAACTCATTGCCTCATGGTTGTCAGGCGGTGCAGAATCTCTCACCATCAAGCCTTTTTGGAAGGCACTGCACACTCTTAGCAAGAACACACTATACTTTGCAACCTACGACTTCATTATGGAAACAGCAAACCCAAGGCCCCATATAAATCATTCCACACATTTTCAAATTATTTTCCTCATTATAACAAAGACTATCAGAGTATAGGTCAAATTCTGAACTCTGATGACTGGAAGAGAAGTTGAATGCACTGAGACTAGATTGAGTTTAACTACTCAAACTAACAGTTACATGAACACAATTTTATTACTAAAATATAAAAATTTCACAGAAATGTTTGAGAGCAGAGAGAAAATATTATAAAAGCAGACAGGCTTAAGTTGCACTCTGTGTCTTCCCTCTAAACACCACTACAGATATTTCAAAATGCTCTTTAGATTACTCACATATATACAGATAACTCGCATATATAGCGCCATCACTTCATCTACACTGAGACAAAATGCAACTATGCAATTGTATTTGCCAGTTATGCCTGACAGCATTATAAAAGAAGTGAAGAAACCACCAGCAGTAATGTAAGGATAATATTGTAAGATCTTGATCTCTGAGGACTGAGAGCAGCTATGGCTGAAAATGATGGTAAACAGAGCTGAAGACATGTTATCAGCACTGAAAGTCAAAACTATAATGCCTAGATGGGACATCTGATAGATACAACAGAATAATTTGCTGGAATAAATCACTAGAAGAATATAGGAACAAAAGATAAAACTATTTGTTCAAATAGTACCATGGTTTTTGATACCAACAAAGGTGCTACAGTCAGTCTTAAAATGTTCTGTTTTCTCTGGCAAAGATTCAGGATGAGCATATGATTTTATAGATTACACATACCCGTTGACTTAATGATATAAATTATGGATAAAGTGACAACCATTAAATTGATGCAGCTTGCTTCTTTGCTATTTTAAATAGGATCCTTACTATAACTTGAACATAAATTTTGATTTGAATTTTATACTATCTGCATTTTCTTTGAATTTGATAGAACATCCAAGGATACATTTAAAAGTAAACAAGATTAATTAGATCCATATTCCAAAATCTACGCCTGGTGGGCTACAAAGGTCAAAATAAACTGGTGGCTTTAAGCGTAATAAACATATTACTTTCCAATTACAGATGAAAGAGACAGTATTTTTGTATGCATTAGGATAACATGTTCATAAAGGAGTAATTTTATAATAGCATTTTAAAATCCAACTTTTTAAAGCACAAAGCAAATATTATCATTTTATGAGGTAATTTTAAAGACATTTGTCATTTACATTTAACATACGACCACAGGTGCTGACTTTGCAATTGCTTTAAGTGTCTCCAATTTCATTTTAGGACACTCAGCATACATGAAGCTGACATAAAGCAAGCAAAAAGGACTGTCCAAAGTAATAAGATGGTTTTCATGTTGGCTAAAATACAAAATGTATGAAAACATGTCCCATTGATACCACACTTAAATAATGCATCAGCTTCGTGCTAGCTTGCTGCAAAGAGGCATTTTACTGCGCAGCCATAAATCCGAAGACATCATTACTTTCACTAACAGCTTCAACTCACAAAGGCCTCACTTTTACTTCTGTTATTTTTTATGGTTCCCTACTTGCCAGATTAGCATCTTCATACAGTTATTCAGGACTAAACTACTTAATCTTGTTTTGACATACCATTTTTATTGTTTTATTTTCAACTTCATTTTGGGGGATTAAATTTAATTAACAAGGTAGTAGCAACTCTCCCTCCATGATGGATTTATTCAATGACGGAATAAATTAATGGTATTAACAGATCTGGAAAGGAATATAACCTTTGAAATCCATTCTTGACAAACTAAGGCCTAAGATGTAACTTTCAAACTGGACATTAAAAATTATTAGGCTTATATGCAAAGCATTTATTAGTTTTTCTTTTGAAAAATCAAAACCAGCCATTAATGCTAGAGCTCCTGCTGCACACTAGGACTTTAGAAGTCATGCCCTCGAAGAAGAGAGATGTTTAAGCACCTGCATCCACCACAGCCCTAAATTTGGGCAAATAATGACAACAACACACTTTTATCTTTTGCTCTTTTTACTTTCTAAAAGTACAGGGTTATTTATCAATACAAGACATATTGTACAGAAACCATCATGTTTTCATAAGAATACATATTATTGTGTAAGACAGCAGGCATAATTCACTAAATGAAACAGAAAACACACCATTTCACAAACTGCTCAACTTCCTGCTTCAAATTTGTGTTTCCCATAGGTGCTGAGCCTGTTAATGCCAAACAAAAAACCATGCGAGGGACCAATCCCCAAAATACAAGCTCCATGGGGGGTCATGTCCACATCCACCTCCCACCAGAGGAGGTGCATTACCCTCCAGATGGCCCTTCCCTGGAAGAGCAACTCTAAAGATGCTTCTTTCCATTCTCCCAAAGTCCTACTGCACAATAACGTTCACTTCTCCATCCTCCAAGGCTTTTATTAACACCAACATACCAGGAAAAAAGAAGCTGCAGGTAGAACCAACTCTTCACCTCCATCTTTTCCAGTAATATTTAGGCCTTTTGCAGTCGAACAGGCACTCATCTCAATTACTCAGCAGGGCAACACATTCCAAGATAACAAGGGACTAACTGCCAAGATGTGCTGGCCCTCACCAACTCAGCAGTTGGAAACCAAGTAGTGCAACTTATTGCCAATAAATGTTTCTTTATAGGTAAATGTTCCAAACTAAGTAAATTATCTAAGCTCACACAAATGCAACCTTTTCTAGACCTGTTTTAGATCTCTGATTACTCATTTTAATTTCTTCTATTAAAAAAACTTCCCTAGCAGAAATATTTGCAAGAATTGGCTAAATACAAAACTGTAGCTGGATGTTAAGAGCATTTATAATATTAAAAGCATGTTAATGCAAACAAAACTCTTTTTTGTTTTAATTTGTTAAAATATTAATTTTGAGCCTGAGAAAGGAAAATTCTGCAAAATCTCAAATGCTTCATTTTGGGAAATCCGAAATGGATGTAACGTTTTCTCATTTAGAATTCTCACTTAGAAATTTTCTCCTGGAATTTTTATACATATATTACAAATATTTAATTATTATTATTATACATTTTTAAAAAATTCAGAATTAACAACAATCTGAAACTTTCTTCCTAAACAGACAATTTTTATGAAAATATTATTTTTATCAAGTTTCATTTTTAACCAAATACATTCACTATAAAAGTTCCGATTAGGTCTAGAGAGAACCAAGCCACTCACTCAAGAACAGGAAGGCACCTGCAGCCTCAAGGGCATTCCCCTGTCCTCAGGTACCTTAGATTTTATCCATTGCTGGTCAACAAGACAACAACTGGTGAAATCCAGGGCCTGGAAGTCAGGTGGCAAACATAAATGCATTACAAACTTAATTATATATGGAATTAGCTGTCTTTTCTTATCATCTTGGATATCTTTAAGCTATCTTCCAGTCTTCTCAGATACGTTCTTATCTAGTTTCTTGGCTGATTTTTTTTCTCCTCCATGTAAAAAATTTGATAATGTAGTAAAAGAGAAGCCAATTAAGAGAAAATATTTTTAACTTAATTTGGGAAACTAGCCTATGTGGATATGTTTCCTTATATAGTATTAAGTTGAAGACATTTCAAGTTGCCTAAGGATACTGTATTTCCAGTCTCTCTAATGCAAAAACAAAAGGTTTAATGATACAGCATAATAAGGTCTCTAAAATGCTTGTTAAGAAAAGATTGCACCCGATTCTGATCAGGGCGTGCAATCTGAAAACACAAACCTTCTGGGATTACACACTGTTGCTCCCTGCAGCTTGGAAGCTAATTCAAAGAAACTGTGGATTCCCCCCATGCTCTCTGCTGAGACAGTGCTTGCTCATTATCCATCCTGGTTTGTACCAACTATTTCTGTTTCACTCCAAGTAACATTGACTCTTATTGGGTCAGTGGAAAAGACATTGGAAGCTGCTACAGTATCGCCTCATATTACAAACCAGATTTCTCTTATTTCCCCTCTTTAGCTGTTTTCTTTCACACAGTTTGACCTCTCTACACGTCCTCGAGCAACTCTCTTTAGAGCACATTCCACTTCTCGCTGCCCTTGAATTTCACTGTTCCTGTTTAATAAAACATGTACATTTTAATTTGTTAATCTCCAAATTTCCCATTTTCTTCTCCTGCCCAAGAACAAAACAAAATACTGGGTTATTAATATTCAAATCCTACATTAAAACATCTACAGTGAGCTATAAACAAACTGTGCATTCAGTGTGTAATAGACTAACCAAGGATGAAATAATTGATAAATTTTGTAAGAGAACTCTAGTTACGAGCCAGTTACTTGAATTCACTTCACAGATGCTATTTGAAAAAGCATTGTGTTGTAGCAAAGGAATGATTTGTATTGTACTAAGTAAAAAGACAAGAGACAATTTTTATGATTATACATTTAATTATGTTTTTAAATTTCCATTTTCATTTTATTTTGATGTTTTTTAGTCCACTACTGCAAATAAGAAAACAAAGTCCAATCAATCTCTGGCCTGAGAGACTGTCAAATTGCTTAGACACTCACAGAAAGATCATCCTACAGATAGCAAGGTTACTATTTATTAAAGTTTAGACAAGGAATTTTGAGTAATTGCATAATTTTGAAATAGCAAATGTGATTTACAGCAATTGTAACTTCTTTCCAACAGAAGGCAGACCATGATTTATATTCATTACACAAATACAGCCAATTTCATTAAACTGTGTTTCATATT